CAAAAAAGAATGAAATTTGAACTCCATTTGAATATGACTTTGAATTTTTCATTTTGAATTTTCAAGTTTCTGAATTGAAACTTGAAAATGAATTTCGGATTTCTTTTGATCTTCGACAAATCCTGGAATGAAAATAAATTTAATTCTTTTTTAAATTAAAAAGTTTTAATTTTCTTTTTTAAATTAAAAAAGGTAATCAAATTGAATTTAAATGTGAATTTATCTTCATTCTGATTTCTTAAAGTGCCTGCAGTGAAATATAAATATGAATTGGCCTTTTCTTTTGTTTTCACTTTATTTCTTTTTTCAAAATATTAAAGTTAAAACTAAAGTGATAATAAGTTGCAAAGTATAAATGTAAGTATAAATATAAATATAAACATAAATATAAATATAATTATAAACATAAATATAAACATAAATATAAATATAAATGTAAATATAAATATAAATATAAACATAAATATAAATATAAACATAAATATAAATATAAATATAAACATAAATATAAATATAAATACAAATATAAATATAAACATAAATATAAGTATAAACATAAATGCATATATAAATATAAATATGAATATAAACATAAAATAAAATATAAATATAAATATAAATATGAATATAAATATAAATATAAACATAAATATGTATATATATATAAACATAAATATAAATATAAATATAAACATAAATATAAATACAAATATAAATGCAAATATAAATACAAATATAAATATAAATATAAATATAAATACAAATATAAATATAAATATAAACATAAATATAAATATAAATACAAATATGTATTCAATATATGTGTACCGAGTGTGAGGCAAGTGAACGAAGACAGCCAAATAAATATAAATATTCATTTTTATTTTTTTAAAAGTTAACTTGAAAAAAAAAGATAAAAATGCACCTAAAGAAGCACAAAATGCATTTATTTGCAAATATTAAATATTTAATTTATATTTTTAAATTTAAATCTCCAAAAGTTGCAAAATTAATTCCATTTTTCTTCTTTTTTGCTGCTTTGCAGCGGCCTTTCTAAGACGCCTGTGGGCTTTTTTGCTTTCTCTTCAACAGCCAAATAAATATAAATATTCATTTTTATTTTTTTAAAAGTTAACTTGAAAAAAAAAGATAAAAATGCACCTAAAGAAGCACAAAATGCATTTATTTGCAAATATTAAATATTTAATTTATATTTTTAAATTTAAATCTCCAAAAGTTGCAAAATTAATTCCATTTTTCTTCTTTTTTGCTGCTTTGCAGCGGCCTTTCTAAGACGCCTGTGGGCTTTTTTGCTTTCTCTTCTTTTATTTTGCATTTGCAAAAAGACAAAAATGAATATTTAAATTAATTCAAATGCGCATGCATGCATGCATGCATGCATGCATGCATGCATGCGTTTTTGTTTCATGCTAATAGCCAGTATTTAAACTAATTTAAATGCGCATGCATGCATGCATGCATGCATGCATGCATGCACACAAAGCCATGCCACACGAATGCATGCATGCATGCATGCATGCATGCATGCATGTGTTTTTGTTTCATGTTTGTGGCTAGTATTTAAATTAATTCAAATGCGCATGCATGCATGCATGCATGCATGCGTTTTTGTTTCATGTTAAAGGCTAGTATTTCCTCATTGCAAAATTCTTTTTTGCAAAATAAAAAAATAAAAGTTTTTGCATTTTATTTCTGCAAAGGCCCCTCGGGTGTACGTACACCCGGAGTGTACGTACACCCTTTTGGCGAACAGCCGCAGCTCGCAGAAGTGCCTCAGAAAACAAAAAAGAGCAATTTAAAGAAATATTAAACTAAAAATAAAATAAACCCAAAACCCTAAACCCTAAACCCTAAACCCTAAACCCTAAACCCTAAACCCTAGATGCTAAAGAGTAAGCCCTAAATCCTGGAAAGTCGCTGCCGGCGCATATGTGTGAATCTGAATCTCTAAACCCTAAACCCTAAACCCTAATCTCTGGGGGTTTTGTATTTGGAGGCAAATCTGCATGGGGGGTCGATCTGCAGCAGCAGCAGCAGCTGCTGCTGCTGCTGCTGCTGCTCAGCTGCCTGCTGATGCTGCAGCAGGAGCGCTGACTGCTGCGTGGCCTCGTGTGGCAGCAGCAGCAGCAGCAGCAGCAGGCTCTGCAGCAGCTGGGCGCGGCTGCTGCTGCCTGCGGTACGGGTTTGCTGCTGCTGCCAACAGACAGCCTCAAGCCTTTCATTCTGCTGCTGCTGCTGCTGCTGCTGCTGCTGCTGCCCTTCGTGCACGCCCTATTTTGCACAGAAGCAAACAAGGGAGAGCCACAAGCGGGCTTGTGCTGCAGCAGCAGCAGCAGCAGCAGCAGCAGCATTGCCAATACCTGCAGCTGAGGCAGCAGCAGCAGCAGCAGGATCATTTAAACTTTGGCCTCTTGAGAACATCCAGCAGTAGCAGCAACAACTCTAGCAGCAGCAGCTGCAGCAGAGCCAACCTCTGCAGCAGCAGCAGCAGCAGCAGCAGAGTCAACCCCAGCAGCAGCAGCAGCAGCAGCAGCAGTAGCAGCAGCAGCAGAGCCAGCCTGAACAGCAGCAGCAGCGGCAGCCTCAGCGGGAGCAGCAGCAGCAGCAGCAGCAGCAGCAGCAGCAGCAGACCGACTGCAGCAGCACTGGCTTTAAACTCTTTGCTGCTGAACATACACGAAGTGGCAGAGGCGCCCCCAGGCCGTTTGAGTGCAGCAGCAAAAGCAGCAGCAGCGCAGCAGCAACTTGATTATGTAAGCAAAGCACTGGTTTTATTTTTACTCCCACGTTTAGGGTTTAGGGTTTAGGGTTTAGGGTTTAGGGTTTAGGGTTTAGGGTTTGGGTTTTGCAGCTGCCAGCTGCTGCATGTCTTGTCAGCTGCACAGGCTCCTGCCTTTATAGGCTTTTTGTCTTGCTGCTGCTGCAGCAGCACAGCAGCAGCTGCGCTGCTGCTGCAGTGCAGATCACACCTCTGCAGCAGCAGCAGCAGCAGCAGCAGCAGCAGCAGCAGCAAGCTTTGCGCATTCCTGTTGCTGCTGCTGCTTTGCTGCAGGACTTTTGGGCCGCAATCTGCAGACGCGCAGTTTCGCTGGAAAAGAAGCTGCGGCTTTCCGATGCTGCTTTGCTGCTGTCTGCTGCTGCTGCTGCGCAGCGGCAGCTGCAGCAGCTGCAGCAGCCGCAGCAGCAGCAACTCAAGCAGCAGCTGCTGGCGCAGCACAGCCGCTTGGTTCAGGCAGCAACGACAGCGCTCTCACGGGGCCTCCTGCGGCAGCAGCAGCAAGCTGCTGCTGCCAAGCAGCGGCAGCAGCAGCAGCAGCAGCAGCAGCAGCAGCAAGCGCAACAACGTCTGACTGTGCAGCAGCAGCAGCACGAGCAAGAGCAGCAGCAGCAGCAGCACCAACATGGGCTAACGGCCAGTCTCCTCACCTCCGCCTTGCATGCATTTGCTGCACTAAAGCTGCAGCAAGTGCTGCTGCTGCAGCAGCTTGCTGCTGCTGCAGTGTCTCTGCAGCTGCAGAACTTCAGCGGATATGACTTGGCGGCTTTCTGCTCAGCGCTGCTGGCAGCAGCGCAGCAGCAGCAGCTGCAGCAGCAGCAGCAGCAGCAGCTGTTTGCCCCTGTCGCCGCGCAGCTGGAGGCCCTGGTGCTGCAGCAGCTACCAGCTTCCAATGCTGCAGCAGAGCGGAGGAACGCTGCTTTGCTGCAGCAGCTGCAGCGGCAGCTGCAGCAGCAGGAGCAGCAGCAGCAGCAGCAGCAGCAGCAAGCGCAGCAGCAGCTGACGGGCGTCGCTGCAGCGCAGCAAGCAGCACACCGCCTGCAGCAGCTGCTGCTGCAGAAGCCGCAGCAACTAGCTGCTGCCTGGCAGCAGCAGCAGCATCGCCAGCAGCTAAATTTGTGCATTTTGCTGCGGCTTTGCGTAGAGCTGCAGATACACCGCAGGCAGCAGCTGCTGCTGCCGCTGCTGCTGCATGCAGCAGTGCTGCAGCTGGAAGCAGCGCGGCTGCAGCTGTGTCTGGCGGGGCTTGAGCCCCTGCAGCAGGAGCAGCAACCTGCTGCAGAAGGTGCTGCTGCTGCTGCTGCTATTGCTGCTGCTCCAGCTGCTGCTGCTGCTGCTGCTGCTGCTGCTGCTGCTGGCCGACACTTCGCCTTTTCGCTAAATCTCTCCAGCTGCCGCGACCTCGCCAGCCTTTGCTCGAGTCTGCTGCTGCTTGACCAGCAGCAGGTAGAAGCCACCAACTCCGGGCTGCAGCAGCAGCAGCAGCAGCAGCAGCTGCAGCAGCTGCAGCAGCTGCAGCAGCAAACGGTAGCTGCACCCTCGCTGATTGTCTCGCTGCTGCTGCACCAAGTTGGTTGGCAGGGCCTTTGCGCTCCAGTCTGTCTTTCAGCTCTTCCCGGAGCTGTCCCAGCAGCAGCAGCAGCAGCAGCAGCAGCAGCAGCACCGGCAGCAGCAGCAGCAACGGAGGCCGCAACATCACCGGCAGAAGCGGCTGTAGCAGCTGCCACGGCTGCTGCAGCAAAAGCAGCAGCACCTGTTAGTGGGCAGCAGCCCATAGAACGCCTGCTGCTCCTTGCTGCTGATCACGCAGCCCTGCTGCTGCTTCTTAGCAGCAGCAGCAGCAGCAGCAGCAGCAGCAGCAGTGACGGCAGTCACCATGAATTGGTTTCAGCTGCTCATATCGCCAGCTGCAGCAGCAAACTATTTAAACGAACCGACGGGGAGGGAGCTGCAACAGCAGCAACCTCAGCAGCAGCAGCAGCAGCAGCAGCAGCAGCCGAGGCAGCACCAACAGCAGTGAGGCTCCTTCCTCTTGCTGCGCTGCTGCAGCTGCAGCTGCAGCAGCACAAGGCAACCTTATCAGCGGACCAGATCTCCATGTGCTGCCGGTTCCTTTCGCAGACTGCAGCAGACACTGCAGCAGCAGCAGCAGCAGAAGTAGCAGCAGCAGCAGAAGCAGATGCACCAGCAGCAACAGCAGCAGCAACAGCAGCAGCAACAGCAGCAGCAGCAACCGGGAAACCTGGGAAAGCAGCACCAGCAGAGGCAGCAAAATCGGCCGCCACCCCCGCAGCAGCTGCAGCGCTTATTCCTGAAAATCGTAATGCTGCTGCTGCTGCTGCTGCTGCTGCTGCTGCTGCTGCTGCTGCTGCTGCTTCCTTCCTCTGTTTGTCCGCACACTCCGTCACTTCTGCCTTGTGCTGCAAACTGCAGCAGCTGCAGCTGTCTCACATTCTGGCCTGCTTGCCGGCAGTTGCAAAGCTGCACAAAGCCCTTTTGCTGCCGCAGCAGCAGCAGCAGCAGCAACAGCAGCAGCAGCAGCAGCAGCAGCAGCAGGAGGGTCCGCAGCAGCTGGCGGACATGCTTGAAGACCCTGAGCTGCGCATGCACTGCTTGCAGCAGCTGCAGCAGACGGCACAGCAGCTGTGTACAAGGTTTTGCAAGCTTGTGCAGCAGCAGCAGCAGCAGCAGCATCAGCAGCAGCAGCAGCAGCAACGGGGAGCAGCAGACTGGGCATGCACACAAGATGGGAGCAGCAGCAGAAGGGGACCCCCAACGCCTTCTTTGCTGCTGCGCCTTCAAAGCAGCCTTGTGGCTGCTGTTGCTGCAGTGGAGCAGACCATACCCGCTTCTGCTGCTGCTGCTGCTGCTGTTGCTGCTGCCACCCGCTTGCTGCTGCAGCCTCAAGCGGAGCAGCAGCACCTGCCTGCTGCTGCTCTCTCCCTGCAGCAATGCAGTCTTCTGTTGCGAGCCCTTGCCAAGTGCGTGAGCTGCCATGCTGCTGCTGGGTTTGCTGCTTCTTTTGCTGCTGCTGCTGCTGCTGCTTTTGTTGCTGCTGTGTTTGCTGTTTCCGTCGCTGCAGCTGCCGCTGCTTTTGCTGCTGCTGCTGCTGCTCACCCCAGTCTATGTGGCCGTGACTGGGGCACTACAGCAGCTTCGCGAGCAGCAGCACATGCAGCTGCTGCTGCAGCAGCTGCGACATGAAGCAGCAGCAGCAGCACGCTGCTGCAGCAGCTGCGGTGCCACGCAACAGCAGCAGCAGCAGGTGCTGCTTTTGCTGCTGCCTCAGCCGTGCCCCCAATTCATTGCTGCTGCTGCTGCTGCTGTGCATGCAGACTGCAGCTGCGAGACCCGGATATCCTTGAAGCTATTTGCAACCGGGTAGCGGAGCTTATACAGCAGCAGCAGCAGCAGCAGCAGCAGCAGCAGCAGCAAAAGGGGGCTCTGGTGTTGTCTGGGCAGCAGCTTGGACAGCTGCTGCTGAGTCTGGCGCAGCTGTCCTTCACTCCTGCGCACCTGCAGCAGTCCAGAGGTGTACATACACCGCAGCAAGAAGCAGCAGCAGCGAGGCTGTTTGATTTGCTGCTGGCGCTGCAGCAGCAGCCGCAGCAGCAGCAGCTGCTGCTCCACAGCATGGGACTCCAGAGCGCAGCAAACTGCTTGCATGCGCTTTCCTTGTGTGACTTTTCTTTAAAGCTCCCTCGAGGCCCCTCTGGGGGCCCCTCTGGGGGCCCCCCTGGGGGCCCCTCTGGGGGCCCCCCTGGGGGCCCCCCTGGGGGCCCCCCTGGGGGCCCCGCCTTGCAGGATGTCACGGGGGAGGTGGAGGGCAAAGCGGCTGTTGCTGCATTTCTGGATTTGCTGCTGAGTGTTGTTCGAATGCATCTGCAGCCGCTGCAGCAGCAGCAGCAGCAGCAGCTGCAGCAGCAGCAGCTGCAGCAGCAGCAGCTGCAGCAGCAGCTGCTGCAGCAGCAGCAGCTGCAGCAGCAGCAGCTTCAGCAGCAAGCGGCTGAGGATGAGGGAGGTGCGTGGATCGGATTGGCCGAGACTTTGAAGCAGCTGCCAGCAGCACAGCAGCAGCTAACAGCAGCAGCAGCAGCAGCAGCTGCAGCACGCCACGCCCCTCTCTGCGCCTCTCTTCAGCCCCACAACAAGGCCTTTCTAAGGGCGCTGCAGCAGCAAGTCTGCTGCGTTTTGCCAGAGACTCAACTAAGCAGCAGCAGCAGCAGCAGCAGCAGCAGCAGCAGCACCAGCAGCAAAAGTCACTCGTGGATGGCAGGAAGCCACAGCGAAACTCTTGTAGAGCCTGGGGTGTCTGTACACCTGGCAAGCTCAGGTGAGTTTTCGACCCTAGTGAGACTGACGCGGAACTCTCCGCAGGTTAGGGTTTAGGGTTTAGGGTTTAGGGTTTAGGGTTTAGGGTTTAGGGTTTAGGGTTGAGGCTGTACGGTGCAGCACTTGGGTTTTGGGGTTTATAGTCAATGGCTCAGGCCCTAGGGCTGAGGTTGAAAGGCTCAATGCACAGCAACTTATGCAGCAGCAGCAAAAGCAGCAAGAGCAGCAGCAACAGCAGCAGCAACAGCAGCAGCAACAGCAGCAGCAGCAACAGCAGCAGCAGCAAGAGCAGCAGCAACAGGCTGTTTGGAGGTTGTGTGGCGTCTATTTACTGCAGCGCTGCACAGAAGCGTATTTGCTGCTGTCTCAAGGGCCCTCTTTCCTGCACAACTTCGCGTCGAAGTGAGCGCAGCAGCAGCAGCAGCAGCAGCAGCAGCAGCAGCAGCAGCAACAGCAGCAGCAGCAGCAAGTGCTGTTGCGTGTTTGCCCTGTTCTGCAGACGCCACTCACCTTTGGTGGCTACTCGTTAGACCTGCTCGCGGAGCTGCCTGGAGGAACTGTAAACCCTAAACCCTAAACTCTAAACCCTAAACCCTAAACCCTAAACCCTAAGCTCTTAATCTTAGCCTTCTCTGGGCCACTGCTCCTCGCACGCCTACCTATTAGACAGCAGCTGGTGCTCAGGGTAGTATGTTTTAGAGCAAAGTGCTTCGGGTTTAGGGTTTAGGGTTTAGGATTTAGGGTTTAGGGTTTAGGGTTTAGGGTTTAGGGTTTAAGGGTTAGGGTTTAGGGTTTAGGGTTTAGGGCGGTTGCGCGCTGCAGCTTGTGGCGATCGAGGCTGATGGCAGCTCCCACTTCTTAGCGGACTGCAGCACGCCGCAGCCCCAGACCCTGCGGCAGCAGCAGCAGCAGCAGCAGCAGCAGCAGCAGCAGCAGCAGCAGCAGCAGCAGCAGCAGCAGCAGGTGCGGGAACCTGAGCTGTGGGCCACAGACAGCTGCGGCTTCGTCTACAACAGCAGCAGCTTGCTGAAGCGCCGCCTTTTAAAGGAAAGACAAATTGCGGTGCTTTCTGTGTCTGCAGCCGAATGGAAAGCAGCAGTAAGGCAGCAGCAGCAGCAGCAGCAGCAGCAGCAGCAGCAGGGGCACGAGTAGCAGCAGCAGCAGTTGCAGCGGTGTTAGCAGCAGCAGCAGCAGTGGCACCAGTAGCAGCAGCAGCAGTTGCAGCGGAGTTAGCAGCAGCAGCAGCAGTGGCACCAGTAGCAGCAGCAGCAGTTGCAGTGGCGCTAGCAGCAGCAGCAGCAGTAGTACTACTAGCAGCAGCAGCAGCAGTGGTACTATTGGCAGCAGCAGCAGCAGTGGTACTAATGGCAGAAGCAGCAGCAGCAGCGCTACCAGCAGCAGCAGCAGCAGCAGAGTTATAAAGCAGCAGCAGCAGCAGCAGCAGAGTTATAAAGTAGCAGCAGCAGCAGCAGAGTCAGAAAGTAGCAGCAGCAGCAGCAGCAGCAGCAGCAGCAGCAGCAGCAGCAGCAGATTTGAAGGAGGGTTTGCTGCCTCGCGTGCTGCGTGCATGCGCAGGGGGCCTCGAGTGCAGCAAAAGATTTATTTTTAAAATCAAAAATGAAAAACTCCATTGGCAGCTGCTTCCATTCAGGTGTACAGACACCCGAACCGCAGCCGCTAGCTAGCCAGAGCTGCAGCAGCTAGCTGCAGCTACCTGCAGCAGCTAGCTGCAGCTACCTGCAGCAGCTAGCTGCACCTACCTGCAGCAGCTAGCTGCAGCTACCTGCAGCAGCTAGCTGCAGCTACCTGCAGCAACTTGCTGCGGCTGCCTGCAGCAACTTGCTGCAGCTACCTGCAGCAACTTGCTGCAGCTACCTGCAGCAACTTGCTGCAGCTACCTGCAGCAACTTGCTGCAGTTACTTGCAGCAAGCCGCAGTTGTAGTTAATTAGGGCTAGCTGTAGCTAGCTCTGGCTAGCTGCAACAAGCAGTGGCTGGCCATGGCTAGCTGCGGCTGGCTGAATTTAGCCGTAGCTAGCTCTGGCTAGCTGTAACATCCTGTGGCTGGCGCTAGCTAGCTGTGGCAATTGCTGGCCAGCAGCTTTAGAGCATTTTGATAACTTGGCAATGGGGCTTTTCGGTTTCAGGTGTACGTACACCTGAACTCTTGCGGTGAAGTGCGGAGAGAAGACGCAAAGTGCCGAATAAATAAATAAATAAATAAATAAATGATAAATAAATAAATATATAAATATATAAATATAAATAAATAAATACTAAATAAATAAATAAATAATCGGCTTTTACTTATTTGTTTATAGGCCCCAAAAGAACCAACTGTTGGCAGCTCCGGGCCGCCGCCGAGGTGTACGTACACCTCAAACCGCGGACAGCTGGCTCGCAGCAGCAAAGAGGCGGCTCGCGCTGCTGCTACCGCTGCAGCAGCAGCTGCTGCTGCTGCCGCTGCAGCAGCAGGAGCTGCTGCTGCAGCAGCACGCAGCAGCGCACGCGGCGCCTGCTGCTGAAGCACGAGCTGTGCAGACAGCTGCGGTTGCTGCAGCAGGAGTTACTGCAGCGGTAGTTGCTGCAGCAGTAGTTGCTGCAGCAGCAGCAGTTGCTGCTGCAGCAGCAGTTGCTGCTGCAGCAGCAGTTGCTGCTGCAGCAGAAGCTGCTGCAGCGGCACTTTGCGGTGTCTTTACAGTTAACTGTACACACTAACTGTGAACATTTCAGCAAAAATCGGGTAAATGCACGAGCGGCAGCAGCAGCAGCAGCAGCAGCAGCAGCTCCTGCAGCAGCAGCAGCTGCTGCTGCTAGACCGTTACCTCGGCAGCTGCATCAAGAGCTCCCTGGGGTCCTTTGCTGCTCCATGCTGCTGCTGCTGCCACAGCAGCAGCAGCTGATGCTCCTGCAACAGAAGGAAGCGCCGCGGAATCAGACATGGGCGCAGCAGCAGCTGCTGCTGCGCCCAGCTGCTGCAGCAGCTGCTGCTGCAGCAGCTGCTGCTGCAGCACGGCTCGCGCCCGGCGCTGCAGGCCCAGGCCGCCCCGCGACTCCCGCTGCTGCAGCAGCAGGCCACCCCCCTCCCAGCAGCAGCAGCAGCAGCAGCAGCAGCAGCAGCAGGAGTCAGGAGAGGTCGAGCTCGCCGTCGTCTCCGACAGCAGGCAGCATGTGTGGGGCGCCACGAGCCTGCTGCTGCTGCTGCTGCTGCTGCTGCTGCTGCTCAATTTGCTGCTTGGCTTTGAGGAGGAAGTGGACTCTCCAGGGGCTGAGTCTGGAGACTTTGTCGAAGTCCTCAACAGCAGCAGCAAAAGCAGCAGGGTCTCTGTCTTCTGCTGCAGCAAGCAGCTGCTGCAGCAGCTGCTGCTCCCTGCTGGCAGCAAAGTGCGCGTTGCAGTCCCTGTAGCGGGCCAGCGCCAGCTGCAGGTCCACCAGCTCTTCCCGAGCAGCAGCAGCAGCAAGCAGCAGCAGCAAAGAATTTAAAAACAAATCTTTTGCTCCGAACTGCAGCAAGTTGTTTTGCGAGGCTTTGTAGCCTTCCGTTTCGAAGATCTTTGCTGCCTTTTCCAGCGTCGCAGCAGCAGCAGCAGCAGCAGCAGGCGCTGCAGCAGCAGCAGCAGCAGGCGCTGCAGCAGCAGCAGCAGCAGCAGCAGGAGCCTCCGCACCCCACACCACCAACTCCGCGTACTTGCAAATGCAATGAGAGTACTGAGTTTTGCTGAATTCGTCGGAGTCGAAGAGCTCAGCAGCAGCAAGGAAGTTTGCTGCTGCTGCTGCTGCATCTCCTGCTGCTTCCCAGTCCTCAGCCAGCTGCCGGTGCACTTTTGCTGCTGCAGCAACTCGGTTTGCTGCCAGCAGCAACTTTATTCCCTTCTCAAACACAGGAGCAGCAGCAGCAACGGAGTACCGCCGCACGCAGTTCCCCGCCTCCACGTACATCGAAGCTTCTGCGCAAACCCCAAACCCTAAACCCTAAACCCTAAACCCTAAACCCTAAACCCTAAACCCTAAACCCGAGTCCACGAACCCTGCGGCGCCTCAGCAGCGAACAGCCAAGCCCGAGGACCCCACGATGCTGCACCCTTCCGCCCCCCAAACCCTAAACCCTAAACCCTAAACCCTAAACCCTAAACCCTAGACACTGACCTGTGTGTGTGTCTTTGGCCTTCTGTGCTGCTTCTGCTGCTTTGATGAAGCACGAAGAAGCCTCTGGGAACATCCGCGCCAGTTTGTATTTCTAAATTAAAAACAAAATAAATAAATAAATAAATAAATAAATTAATTAATTAATTAATTAATTAATTAATTAATTAAAAATTAAATTAATTGCATTTTTGTTTTATTTAGCTGCTGCTTGTTGCCTCGTTAGAGCTGCGAGAAAGCCGGGGAAGAGTGCAGCAAATGCAGCTACAGCTACGCGTGCGCAGCAGCAGCAGCAGCAGCAGCAGCAGCAGCAGCAGCAGCAGCAGCAGCAGCAGCAGC